GAGGAGAAGGGGATGGGAAGGGGGATGAGTGGGTTGAGAATAGATAGGTAGATTTAGGTACGTTATCTAGGTACGTTATGGATGGACGAGGAAATTGCGATGGGGGGTGGGTGTATGGGTTTTAGATGTTTGCTTTGTTGGTTGGAGGGGGATGGGTGGGATGAGATGAGATGAAGATGAGATGAGATGAGATGAAGATGAGATGAGATGAGATGAGATTGAGGTTTGCTTTGGGGAGGAAGGGTATGGGTGTGGGTGAGGGTGAGTGTGGGAGGTGGGGGTGGGAGGTTGATGGGGTTTCTTTATGGATCTACGTAGTAACCTAGACTGTGTTCGTTGACGCGGAGGATGGGATCATTGTGGTGTTTCAGGCGCCTATGGGACTGACTAGGTGTAGCTGGTAGAGAGCGTTGTGAAGAGTGAGGTGGAAGGGGAAGAGAGGTTGTTGTTGTTGTTGTTGTTGTTGTTGAGAGAGGAGGCCTATCCTACTGGCTATAGATAGGGCTCTGATGCCGTTTTGTTGTGGGTATGCAGAAGAAGAAGACGCATAGGTAAGGAGTTTCCGGCCAAATTTGCTAAGAATACGGAGGAGAGGATGTGAGGATGGTAATGGATGGTACTTACTGTAGAGGGAGAAAGGTACGTAGCATGTGAATGGCAGGCAGGTGACAGGAGCACCGAGTACGCAGTCCGTCTGACGTGTCGCATCTTGCATGGAGCTCTTTTCGGGGTTTCTACACAGGCTAGGAATGAACACACTACTCCTTTTCACTCGGATATCCAGTAACTCTATCCAAGGGCGTTGTCCTGAGTGGTAGTAGGCTCTCCTGTTACTTCCTCGGCAGAAAGTCGCGTCTGAGCATTGCGTAACTTCCTCGATCGAATCCCCGAATAGAGCCATGTCGTACTCAATGCATCGATCGGAACTTTCCGGATTCTAGAATATTGAAGTCTGACCGAAGTCAAACGGCTACAGGAGGTCGTCACTTGCACGCTACCGCAAAGCAAACACCAAGTCATCTCTCGTCCGCGGCCGTTGAGCCCAGCTTTGCATTGACATAACACCGTAGAGTCGGAGCCCCGCGTTTCACTATACCTTTCTTGCATTGATCGATCCAAACCAGGTGCAGGTAGGCCTTGCCTCTTATGTGCTTGGGAAGCTAGGAAGCGAATCTATTGTTTTGCTTTCGCTTCGGTTAAAGTAGGGAGACCTCGCTTCGTTGGAAGATGTAAGGGGGATGAAGGAGGGACTTGATCAATAATACTCGTCTCGAGGTATCGAGCGGTGCCAACAATGACCATGAAAGAGCTCTCGAGTGATAGCAGATAAGTATCATTGGATCAACGTCATGTTGCCTCTGTTGAGTTGGAGCGATGATCTTTTGGTACTTTCGGGTTGTCCTGCTGATCAAGCTTTCTAGGAGAAGCTTGCTTGCTTGCTGTTTATAGCGACAGATACGTAGTACATCATACAGGATTTATGGCACAAATACGTAGAGAGAGAGGAGGTCTGGCTTGTTAGGCAGGGGCGTCGTTCTTTTCTTTTCGAGATCAGTCACGTGTATGAATAGGTACGGTACTGAAGCTTCCCCGACGTACAAAGTTCATCACCGCCATTTGAGCCAAGGACAGCAAAGTGTGATAACCGATCAGATGGAACAAAGTGGAATGAAATGCATCACGACCGCTGACAATGGATTGTTCAATGTTGCATGTACGTCATCTAAGCCGAGGGCTGGACAGCTACCCCACTATCCTATTCCTCCGTCAGACGCCATACCGACCTACCTACTTCGTACATATTCACGATCACTTCGACATCTACCTTTAACCCGAACCCCAAGTTTCATCCATCCATCCATCCATCCATCCATCGATTCATCCCATCTGACTCGGCATTTTTCCAATCGATTGACTTTGCTACGATATTAATAGAACAGATAGCCTTTGCTGTCATTGCATTAGGGTCCTTTCGTCTCAAGTCCTCGTCGCACCAATGCATTCGGCGCCCCTCTAGTCTGGTCTATTCTAGTTCTCTTTCAGCACGTCCTCCCAACCCTTTCCGTACCTTCTCGTCGCTCTACCCGCCAGCTCTCTCCCACTGTACCTCTGTCTCTCTCTATTGACCTGGCTTCCTTCCTGAGCTCGCTCAACCCCCGCATCTCGCAGAGAGAGAAACCGCGACAATGGTCTTCACGCGGTCAGCGACCCATTCGATACACGATATCGCTTCCGGGCTTCTCCACCATCACAGGTTGACGAGTGAGGAGAAGATGCAAATCTCGGCGCAGATGCATGACCAGGAGCGGGCGTTCGTGGCGCGGTTCAGTGCGCAGCAGCACCCTCTGGCGCCAGAAGAGGTACAGCAGGACACGCGGAACAAGGACTTGGGGCGGAGCTCGAGGGGGTTGACGGTTGAAGATTTCGAGCTGGTCCGGACGCTGGGAACGGGTGCGTGGTCTCTTTGCACCTACTGGGAAAAGGGAAGCCCGTTGACTGGGCCGGAGGGGATTGAACGTATTGAGCTGATTGAAATGTATAGGAACATTTGCGCGCGTCTGGCTTGTACGTCTTGCGAATCCCAGGCCCGAAGACGCGGATAAGGTGTTTGCGCTGAAGGTGCTGCGGAAAGTTGAAGGCATGTTCGATAGTACATGATCTGGGGTCTTCTATGCTGACGAAGAGTAGTTATCAGGCTGAAGCAGGTTGACCACGTCAACCACGAGCGCTCAGTCCTTGCAGATGTTGCTGGCCACCCCTTCATAACGACGCTGATAACTTCCTTCTCCGACCACGACTCCCTCTACATGCTCCTCGACTACTGCCCTGGCGGTGAAGTCTTCTCCTACCTGCGCAAGCAAAAGCGCTTCGACGAGAATACGTCCCGCTTCTACGCCGCCGAAATAGTGCTCATCCTCGAATTCCTGCACGAGCGCGAAGGCGTCGCCTATCGTGACCTCAAACCCGAGAACCTCCTCCTCGACGCAGATGGCCACATCAAGCTGGTGGATTTTGGGTTCGCCAAGAGACTTGGAAACAGTAAGAAGCCCAGGCGCGCGCTGCGGTTCTCGCGCAAAGGTAGCAGTGAAGGTGTTGACGACCTTGAAGGAGAAACCTATACCTTATGCGGTACTCCCGAGTACCTGGCGCCCGAGGTCATCCAGTCCAAGGGCCACACGACGGCGGTCGATTGGTGGGCGCTGGGCATCCTGATATTTGAGTTTATGACCGGGTATCCGCCGTTCTGGGACCAGAGCCCGATTGAGATTTACAAAAAGTGGATATCCCCCTCCCTACACCATATACCTACCTATCTGTCCTTCAAGCCGACTAAACAGTGCTCATTAGAATCGTCTCCAAACCTGTGCAGTTCCCATCCGAACCCCCCATCTCTGCCGACTGCAAAGACATCATCCGCCACTTCTGCACAGTCGACCGGTCCAAGCGCCTCGGCAATGTCTCGGGCGGTGCGCAGCGCGTCAAAGACCACCCCTTCTTCCGCGGTATCAACTGGGAGGAGATCTACTATAGGAAACACAGGGGCCCGATCATACCGCCGGTCAGGTACCCCGGGGACGCACAGTGTTTCGACTTGTACCCCGACGAGAAGGCGGGGAGGGAGCGGTACACGGAAGACCTGCAGAAAAAGTGGGAGAGCCATTTTAAGGATTTCTGAGGGTTTATATGCATTGTATAGTTAAGGGAGATACTCTTTTTCGGCAAGAAACAAACGCGAGGTAGGTTGGGATTAATATGTAGATGACGATGGGAATGGAGTCAGGGTATGAGGGATGGAATGGATGTGTCTGGTATATGGTAATACACGGTGGAAGGCATTTTGGACGGGCCAGAATTCGCATCGCATCGCATCGCATCGCATCGCAGGGCGTTCTTGGGTTTATGAGACATGGGAAAGGTGTTGGGGAGTATATATCCGAGATGATTGGACTAGAAACTTGAACGACTGGATTAAGACGGGGGTGGGTAGGGGGAATCTTTTGGGTATGGGCACCGGTAAGTAGTACATGGTTGAGTGGTTCGCGATAATAATTTTATATTTCCTCATTTTTCGTTTTTCTTTTTTCGTTTTTCGTTTTTCGTTTTTCTTTTTTCGTGTTTTTTTACGGAGAAGCGAGCGAGCGAGCGAGCGAGCGAGCGCTGGACAGGGTATATATATATATATATATATATCTATATCTATCTATCTATCTATCTATCTATCCCCCGTGGACGACCCCATCTCATCTTCTTCCGCGGACCATACATATACATATACATATACCGTTACATATACCGGTAGCGGTAGCCAGAGAGCGAACACAGGACCTTCCGAGCTGCGAGTCCTGCACGTCGGCGTGTTGGCATGTCGGCGTGTTTTGTGCTCGCTTGGGGGTTTGGGGTTCGGGGGGTGGGGTTTGCGGCTTCTGTGGTGAGGAATTAGAAGAGGGAGTGGGATTTGGAGGTGAGGGGGATTGGAGGTGAGGGGGATTGGAGGAGGAGGAGGAGGAGGAGGAGGAGGAGGAGGAGGAGGAGGAGTTAGGGTGAGTTGGGATGTGAAGGAGGATGGAGAGATGGATGGATAGATGGATAGGTAGGTAGGTAAGGTAGGTAGGTAGGTAGGTAGGTAGGTATACAGAGGTATACGGAGGATGTCGACACGGGGGTACACGTTCGTTTTTTTTTTTAAGAATGCAGCGCCCGGAGAGAAGGGAGGAGGAGGAGACACAAGACGTCGCGCGCGCTTCCCGGATTCTCGCCATATGAATAGCATATATACAATACCCCTCTCGTCGATTGCGTAGCCAGCGCTCGAGATGGGGCTCCTATTACTCTCCTCTCCGTCAATGCGCCTCCGTAGGGGGGGTATCTGTCCATCTTCACACACACACACACACACACATATACACCGCTCAGTTCTTCTTCTTTCCCTGCAGATGCCACTCCATGACCTTCTCATACACCGTCTTCCCGTCCCCGACAAACGTGTCCCCGTGGCACGGCACCAGGTTCACAAAGTCCCAGGCGTTGATCCTCTTGGCGCTCTCCGCGAAGCCGGCGCGGTCGCGCTTGCTGAACAGGTACCACAGCATGCGCTTCTGCCACAGGGCGTCGCCGCGCGTGTGCTGCATGGCGGCGAACAGCCGCGTGGCCCAGCCCGTGGTGGGGTCGATGCCCGACCGACTGTACTGCTCCACCGCGGGCAGGTTGAAGAGCAGGTCGGCCTCGATGCAGGTGCGGGAGGGCCGGTGCACGAACACGAGCTCCTTGTTCGGGTGCGCGTCGACGAACTCGTAGGCGAACTCGGCGTCGAACTCCGCCGTGACCTTGGTGCTGAGCTTGTCCCGCGCCGTGAAGACCGTGCCGAAGGGGACGATGGTGACGGCCTTGTCGCTGCGGTTCAGCGCCGCGCGCTTCTCGGCGAGGCCCTCGGGCGCGATGATGTGGGCGGTGGGATAGGCGGCGTGCCAGGCGGAGAGGTTCATGTGGTGCTCGAGATCCGGCGCGATGATGTAGGAGATGGGGGTCGGCGAGGGGGAGATGCTGGCGATGGTGCTCTTGACGAGGGGCGTGAGGGGCGTGGGGGAGAAGACGGCGAGGGTGCCGGACTGGAGGCGGACTAGAGGTGAGGTGTAAGCAACACGGCTCAAATCACGTCTGGGAATGGTTTGGAGGAGGGGAGGTGTGTACGTACCGAGTGTAGCTCGGCCTCCGAACTTGATACGGTTGAACCGGAGGAACGGGACCGAGATGGTCGTGACTCCCGGTACGACCTCTCGGATGACCGTCTCGTCGTCGGGGTTTCCTGCGGTTTGAAAAGACATGGCCACGGTGTATGGGATCAGAGGCAAGATGTAACCTCGTTTTGGTATGGTTCTGGTTTTTGTTGTTTTTGATGATGTTTTTGATGTTGGTAGCTGTGACGTTGGCTCACGGCTCTAAATACTCCGGGTCCGTTCTCCAGTCAGTGACGGCATTTGATCTATTAAGCTTTGGCGGGCTGGAGGTGGCGTGCGTCGTGCTTGGTACCGCTGCGAGATTGACAGCGGGTCGTGTTTTACCTTTCCCTTGTTGGCGCGGATCTTTGACCATTGATAGAAGGTACTTTACTGTCCTTGTGGACCTAGATACACACCACATATTTATACTTCAACATCTACATCTCCACCTCTTCCCCTACGCAGACGACACGCAACAATGCATACGTGGTCGGTACGCAAACTCACTCAGCAGCAAGCAAGCAAGCAAGCAAGCAAGCAAGCAAGCAAGCCTGCCTGCCTGCGGGGTGAGAAACTCAAAATCCGAGTTTCAACTTCCGAATTCCAGACCCGGAGATCATGTCATTCAGTGCCCGCCGAGGCATCTGGGTCCGTCCCATGATCTATCTGCAGACTTCATCCTCAACTCCGGATGGGATGGGATCGGATGGGTTATCCCGCATACAACCTGCCCCGACCAACTCGTCTGGGGACAAACCGATCGTGGTCTCTCCCTCTCTCGTCTTGAATATACATTAATTAACAGGCCGGGCTGGCTTGCGGCATGCAATAGCCGCGCGATTATATATAGCTGAGGAGAGGGTTCTTGCTGCTTTTAGCGACGGACGGACGGACTCCTCAATTCCCTTTCCGAGTATCCGCAATCCCGTGCGAATTTTCGAGAAACTTGTCTTTTCGTGTTGGAACAATCAGCTCGTCCCATGCTCGTAACTCTGGTTTGGCAATGGTCAGTAAGGTAGGTAGGTAGGTAGGTAGGCGCGGGAACATGATCCCAGAAAGCCTCCACTCGGCAGGCAGAGAGAGACATCACAATCACAGGCACAGGAAAAGCGGGCACGGCGGTATGTTTCAAAAGTTACGATTCCATTCATTGATTTCTCATCGACCAATCTATCTAGTAGCTACACATGCCGTATGGCAGTGTTGGAAGTAATAGCAAGCAAGCAAGCAAGCAAGCAAACAAATTTGTTTGGGCAGAATCCTCTGTTGGAAGAGGAAGAAGAAGCAGCAGAAAAGCGGGAAAAAAAAAAGACAAAAAACGCCACCGGTTTTGCGCACAGAGGTGTCATGAAGAGGAAGAAGGAATTTTCCAACCAAAACGCAAACCCGGCATAGAGAAAGGCCTGTAATCGAGGTCTGGAAAGTGTGCGGAAAGTGTAGAGGAACAATTCGAAACTTCAATCGTGGAGCTCAAGCAAACCGCTAACCCGGCATGGGGTAGGGCGTGTACTCGACGTGAAGGGCATACCGGACGGTATTCACCACACCGCGATCGACCCAGGCGGCCCATTCGGGAGACAAGAGCGCATGCAGGATGCCTTGGTCGGGATAACGGTAGTTGAGCCAGTTGGTCAACATTGCGCGAGTAGCCTCGTTGGCGGCACGCCAGATCTTGCGCTCAGAGTAGGTGTCGAAGGCGACCCAGCAGAAGTAGTACGCGATGCAGTGCATCAGGAACCAGAAGAGAGTCCACCAGAACGAGACAGGTTGTCGGAGAGTCCTGAAGCCTTCAGTCTCGACGGCGGGAGGAGCGGGAGGAGCACCAGCGCCGACGGCTGGGGCAAGACCGTCCTGGCCGGGCTCCCCCCCTGCCACTACTTCGGGCGAAACTGTAGCAACACCTCGGATGGACCGAGAGAACGACGAGTTGAAAACATTGGTCAGGAAGGCCCAGAGGAACAAGAGCATGTGGAGCTCAGTCGTGAACCAGTGGACGTAGCGCGTGGTCGTGATGATTCTAGCCGGGACGCGGATGATGGTCGGCTCTGCAGGGGGCGCAGGAACAGGATCTCTGTACTCGATTTGGATTTCGGGCACGTGGATAGGTACCTCGACAACTCTGGTCTCTGCAGCAGGACCGTCGACGCGAATGATCTGGCGGCCTTGGTCATCCAAGACAGCGTCGTCGTCGTGAGCAGGTACAGGTGGGGGAACAAACTCGGTCTCTTCGCTCTCGTCTCCCGAGTCGAAGTCGCTCTCGTATCTCATCTCTTCCGAGAAACGTCTGTCACTGGCTTCCTCGCCAGCTTCCTCGCCAGCTTCCTCCTCTGGCTGCGAGCGAGGCTCTGCTGTCTCTGACAAATGGCTGAGACTCTTGCTCAATCTTCTGTTGAGCGACTCGGTGGTTACGGGGGCGGTGTGAGACTCGGGCATGGCTTGGAAGCCTGCTGTCTCGGTATCAAACTTCTCGATCTGCGCATAGGCAGATTCCAGAAGCTCCTGCGAATGCTTGAGCTCCTCTTCGAGTCGGGCAGCCTCGCCACGTTCTCGCTTCCAATCCCCCTCTGCTTTCCTCAACTTTTCGAGCTCTTTCTCGAGTCTGTCACGCTGAGCGTAGACATTTCTGGAATTCCGCGAGATTTCCGCCTCCTTGTCCTTGTAGTGTTTGACATCTTTTTCCATCTCTCGCAGTTTATCCACCACAAGGGTGTGATTTCTGGCCAAGGTTTGAAGTTCCGTGACCTGTTCTTGCTCCTCGCCCAGCTGTTTTTCGATGTATTCGATGTGATCCTCTCTGTCATCCAGAGCTTTCTTGATCGCAGCAAGCTCTGCCTCGTACTTCGTGGCTTTTTCCTTCTCAGCCACTGTCGCCTTGTTGGCCTCGTCGACGAATCCTTCGAGACGCACGACATCCTTCTCACGGTTCTGCAAGTTGATTGCACATTTCTTGTATAGCGCCTTCACTTTCTCGTGCTCACCATTCAACTTGTCGTACACATTCTGCAGGTTCTCACCGAGAACGGGAACCGGAGCGTGTTCGGCCATGTTGGCGCCAAAGTCAACGTATGTTCCAATGCTTCGGTAGACTGGGGAAGCAGACTGCGTGGCAACGTCTTGGTTGCTGACAGAGGAGGTGCTGGCTGAAGAATTGCCAGTGGCAGCAGCACAACCTCTGTCATCTACCAAGACGTTGCCAGCAGGAATGCTGGCAAGGCTTTGTCGCCTTAGTTCCTCGATCTGTTCGACGCATTAGTATCAAGGACAATCCAACTCCAAGTCCAGGGACCGCATTCGGAAGTGCGATCCAAGACATGGTTGCGCGAGGTCGCCGGGAACGTCTCGTGGGACGGTTTCACTCACCTCCTTCTCGGCCTCGTCCCGAAACTCTTGATACTCATCACAGAGTCTGTTGTAGTCTTCGACATTCTCCTGCCACTCCTTCTCCACCACCGCCACCTCCTCCACGCGCTGCTTGTCCTTGGCGCGGACTTCAGCCGTGCGCTTCTTCTCCTCGAGGAGAAGCTGTTGGAAAGAGTCAGAAACGAACGTCACAGGGTAGCACTAGGAAACTTACCGCACGCTTCAGCTCCTCGATCTCCCCATTCAGCGCGGCGACAGCTTGGTTGCCGGCCCGGATGATGTCACGAAGCCCATCGGCTTCGGACGGGGGCGCACTCATGGCCGGAGCCAGAGGAGCTGGGGGTGGTACTGGCGTCGACCCATTGAATGGGTTGGACGGGCCGCCGAATGCGGAGAAGGAGAACTCGAACTCGCTTCCCGGCACTTGGAATGGGTTGGATGCCATCTTGATTGCGGTAAGATTGGCTGTGGATGGTGGATGATGGTTGGTAGATGGGGGATGGGGGATGGGGGATGGTGGATGGGGGATGGGGGATGGTGGATGATGGATGGTGGATGGTGGATGGGGGATGGTGGATTGTGGTTGGTGGTTGGTAGTGGTAGTGGTAGTGGTAGTGGTGGTGGTGGTGGTGGTGGCTGTTTGCGGAATTGTTGTGTGCGTGGAGAGAATAAAGGAGGGAGAGAAAGGGAGGAAGAAAGAAGTCGGGGAGATATAGAAAATTCAAAGTGGGTCTGGGACGACTGAAGCTAGTTCCTATTGTGCTCCGCTCTCTCATCTAAGCGAGTCTCTCCTATTGTCATCGCAGGACAAGTGGTTGATGGTGAATGCGTGCGTGAACGAGTCTTGTGGATCTCTCTCTTCACTCACAGCCTTCACGACTGCCACCGCGGCGATACAGCAGACCGCTCGAGATCTCATCGCACAGTTGATTGCTACATACATATACGGGCTGAGCTGACTTGATGATCTTGTCAAGGAGTGGCCCTGTGGTACTCTTGAAGCTATTCCCAGTAAAATCGGCGAGCCCGCCCACACCGGTTGAAAGTGACGATTGCGCATCACTATACCTACCAACTGCCTCTCCTGCTCGAAGCTGAACTCGTCCGGCCTTTTTCGGTGGTGCGTTGGGAGGGACTCACCTTTCTGAGTTGGGAGGGACTCACCTTTGTTCCCATGCTGACGAACGAACGAAAACGGCCGGCGCCGCGCGCTGAAGCGAATTTGGCAGGACCCAGCCACCCAATCAGAGGGCGACCCTCGCAATCCCCCACGACTATTCGACGAATGACGTGTGAAGTTACCGCATCTCCGAAAATCCTCGTCGATGGGGGTGACAGCTCCCCGCGCGGCTTCAGCGAGCCAAATTGTCAAGTTCCTGTGCACCTCGCTCTCCTGGCTGGTGGGTGGTAGATGGGCAGGGTTACGTATATGTGTATAGATATATATATATATATATTTACGTACAGATATTTACGAATATATAGCAGATCAGCCATGAGCTACCTCATGATCAGAGCGTCTCTATCGCGAAATCACTTGAATTGAATAGATTGTAATGGTCTTGATTTCGCGACTAGTTATACTACCACCATCGTACCTCCGTCGGGGAGGAGGGGACCGCGAATCGGATTCTGGGCAGCGACCCCGGATGCAGAAGAAGAGAGCCCCATCCGCTTCCAGGGCCATTGATCCACAGGCCGGGAGATAGATACCCTCCCTCACTTTATGTCCGCTCGCATGTGTGTGTTTGCGGAACGGCATGCGAATATCGGTCAGGGAAAACGGAATTGGCAAACAGAAAGTCTGGGGTCACACGGCGAACAGGAGGCAGCAGATCGGCGGTTGTCTTGGATTTCTGTCTCAGCAGGACGGTAGCTTCCCAGAGTACCGGTACCTAGTGACCACCTCCATCGTTATTTGGCGCGCCGGCCTTTCTGGTCTGCTGAGAGAGCGGCTCCGTCGTCAGGCGGCGACCTTGGAATCACCTGACCGCAAATAAGACGGTCGGTAGTGACCTGCGAATGCCTTGGATCTCTCCGGAAGCGTAGCTTGCTCGAAATCTGTAGCGTGCCGGCGCGGTAGATGCGAGGAAGCTGCCACCGTACTTGCTGTCGAGCAGGCGAGCGAGCATGGATTCGGGGCACATGCGACGGTAGCTCGGTAGCTAAAGCCAATTTGAGCTTCAAGCAGCTAGCAACGGCTCTCTGTGACTCGCCACGTGGGGGGAATCTTTCCAGCACAAGCTTCACCCAGATACAATAGAAGGAGGCACGCCCTGCTGCTGCTCTATCACAGGCGACTAGGGACGGCCCTGTTGTTGATGAAGTATACAGAGGTGATATATTGATTTAGAGGACGTCATCTACAAAGAGCCTGTAGGAATAACTCAATCCGAGAATAGATCGCGGAGGAACGGAAAATTCGAGCTCGCCGTGTTGTTGAGAATATCTTTGGGCGTGGTTGGTGACCATTCTCAATGCTCATAACCAGTCCCCCCCGTCACTTACAAGATATAATAACTCCAATCCGGATCTTTCCAACGGCTACGGTCCCCTGGATCCATCTCAAGTTCGCAAATGCTTCTTCCTCACCGAACGCATGTACCCGTAGTCGTTCCAATCCCCCCCGCCGCGGACTTCGGTCTGGTCCCCAGTTCTTTTTCGTCCAAGATTCTGCTCTTCGTGATAGCTCTCTTGGCCAGCCGTTCGTGAATCAAGCCCACAACTCTCCGTAAGATGATGATGCGACCTCCCATCACTTTCCATCGAAGAGCGCCCCATCACATGTCCTCCTTCATTCAATCCGTCGGATGTCTCGGGTCATACATCTCGTAGCCTTCATCCTCCGTATCGCTCTCTCCCTCATCCACAAGTTTCAAGCTTCCAGGAAGCCTGTTGTTGTTGTTGTTGTTGTCCTCCTGCTTGATCTCGGCCCGTTCCTCCTCCTTCACACCCTCTCCATCGACAGGGGCAAACGCGCTCTTGAACCCAGACTTCTTGAACCCGGACTTCTTGAATCCCCCACCCCCGCTTGTGCCTCCGCCTCCGCTGTCGCCCAGCTTGATCGATATCAGGCCGGATTGCGAATTGGCTTTTGCTTCGGCCTTGCGGGCCTTCGAGGACGCGAGTGGATCTCGGGTAAGCTGGCGCATGTCTTTCAGCCGCTGCTTGTGCGAGTGGTCATAGGAGGAGAGGTGGGCGTCATATTCGTTCATTCGCGCGTAGCCTTTGCTGCATAATTCGCCTGGGAGTGTGAGCTTTGGAGTGAGGGGTGGGGAGAGGAGAGCCGTCACTGACAGTAAAAGGACCGGACGGCTTCGCGAGCGCTTTCCGTTTTCGGGGCTGGATTCGTAAACGCGCGCTGGGAGGTTAGTCGGCTGCCTCGATCTACTTGGGAATGGTCGTCTTACTGGGGGCATCTTGTTGTTCGTTGTGTTGTGACTCTATACAGTTGACGAACGGAAGAGCGAAGTCTTGATATGTACGCAGGGATACAATAAGGTTTTGGCAAAAGCTTTACCCCATAAAGCTTAAATGTATGTTATCCAAACATCGTTCACACATTCGCAATCCTCACTTGTTCGAGTTACGAAGACATTCTCGATGACTATGGACCATCGCGCCTCGGTATCGTCGCAAGATACCCTTGTTTCCCTCGAGCAACTAGATCCCGCGCCCATCGATACGCCTCCCGGGCTCGACGAGGGCGCGCCATCTCCCCCAAAGAACCCCACCGGCTTGGGACTCAGTGGCAGTGGTCACAGTTCGGTATACTACTGTACATTGCACACATACCCAAAACTCTGGTTGCGCGAGCTGAAATTTGTTACAGTGACACGTCTACAGAAGTACTCTTCCTACGCCTTTACGATCTTCGCCTCCTTCCATATTACCAACACCTCCATCATCCCGCTCATCACCCGCTCTGTCCCAGCAGCAGACTCTTACCTCCTCCTCACGCGACCATACTACCAATCGTTCCCGCTCGAGCAACTGCTCGTGACCCTGCCCATCGCCACACATGTGCTCTCCGGGCTAGCTCTGCGTATCCACCGGCGCAACGCGAACGTCGCAAGATACGGCGCGTCCCACTTGTCCACATCCGAGCGCTTCCAGCAAGGGCTCAAAGTCTGGCCGGCCGTCTCTTGGAGTAGTCTGACGGGCTATGTGCTGACCCCGCTGGTGTTGGGGCATTCATTCGTGAACAGGCTGTTGCCGTGGATATACGAGGGCGGGTCGTCGAGCGTTGGGCTAGGCTTTGTGAGCCATGGTTTTGCAAAGCACCCGTTCGTGGCATGGACGGGCTATTCTGCGCTGGTCGGGGCGGGGGCGGCCCATATTGTCTGGGGCATAGCTCGATGGAATGGTTGGGTCCCGGTGGGGAAGGACAAGAAGGCCAGGCGCCGACGGTGGGCTATTAATGGAATAGCTGCTGCGGTGACGGCATTGTGGATGGCTGGTGGACTAGGTGTGGTTGGGAGGGGTGGGCTGACAGAGGGTTGGATTGGGAGGGGATACGACGAGGTATACTCCAAGGTGCCTTTTGTGAATCTGTAATCATGGGAATGTATGATTTTTCGGGGAGTTGGAAGGGATGGGATGGATCCGAAACGCATAGCAAGCGGAGTTTGTCGAATTGTTCTATAAATATGTGGGAGGTGGTTGAGATGTCCGGGTATTCTAAGACCAAGGACGATGATTTTGAGATTTCCAGCAACTGAACTACCTAAATCGAGTACGATTGTGATTGTACAAATCTCGATAATCGCGACTCGCGAGCTACATATGTCCTCTTTCCCAGTTGTTTTTCCACATGGCTTGGGTGAGAACATTCCTCCGCTCTCCAACAACCTTTCAGATTTGTTCGTGCCAACTTGTTTCCTTCGGCATCCTCACTCTCATCTTCATCACACAACCATCTCCACACATTCATGATTCAAGGACCGTCTCCAACCACCATCTCGGTACAGAGGCAGAGACACATATTTGTGCATACAAGATATATATCATCTCTACCGTGCAAGAGGTATCTCCGTGAGTCCGGCATCGATTAGCGAAACGCTCGCCTATTCCTCACGCTGATCTACCGGTAGGTAGCCTCCTCTCTCTGCCTCTCTGTATCAAGTCTTGAAAAGAAAAAAAAAGGTCGACCTCTGGAGCACACGAGAGTCTGGAAGTTCTTCAGAACCAATGTCCGTTGTCCTCACCGCACCATTGGACGTACGTACTACATACCTACCGAGCGCGAAAAAGACTGATCTCATGACCTCGCGTCTTCTTCCCAAAGATGGGATGAACGAGAGCGATACCTACCTTATATACTCAAGACACTAGATGGAGGGTACCCGTGCCGCTAGGTGAGATTTTGCTTCCCGGAGGGACAGAGCCGAACGAACCACTTACCTCGTGCACTGGTGCCGATCTGCGGGTAGCCGTGGGATAGAAAAAAAGGGGGGGGGGCACCTCATCCGGACACGACGGATGTGAGTCCGGAGCCGGGTTCCTGGCCGCCACGCCCGTGAGAAAGATGCATCTCCGCTTCGCTGCGGAGATGCGGTTTTCGCTGTGATAGGGAGGGGGTTAGCTGCTTCTACGTGTCTGGAGCGTAGCTCGCTTGGTCTCTGCGGTACTCGAGATGGGTGCAGTGGCTGTGGGGTAGCCACCCAGGTCTGCGTCGAGGCACTGGCGTTTGGAACCAGCTGGTTGGGGAAAGATCGGATCCAGCTCGGGACAGGCGCAGGACTGCAAGCTGGAGGGCACAGGCGTGCGGATCTGACACTGAGATGGGTAGAAGGGTGGATTACGGTATCGTGTGACGCTCATTCTCTCGGCTCAAGCTAGTGATTGCTACTGTACCGGTATCCTAGATAGACACCTCGCTGGTACCCTCTGCAACAGGACTCCGGGCGCAAACTCGCTTAGAGAGAGACCTACCAACCCAACCAAACTCGACGGTGCTCATGTTCTATAGCAGCTGCAGATGCGATTGAGAAGAACAGATGAACGGGTAGGAATTTGAAATCAAGATGGGAGATTGCACTGTATAACAAACGTCTAGCCACGATAGCGAAGGGGAAGCAAGAGGGCAGCAAAGCAGCACGCATCTCCGAATACCCTGAACATGCAGTGCCCAACGGAGTGGAGAAGGACAGGCTGGGATTTCTCACAAGGAGCTGGATGCACCAACACCCAGCGGGAGACCGTCGTAGTACTCAGATGGAAGAGAAAGCCGTTGACCACGACCGAGACAGCATATCGGAGCAAGTCCTCAGAGGATAACCCGGCGCAATACGCGAGTCTCAGAGGCCGATTGGGGGGGGGAGGGCGCTAGATGCCCTGAGCCAGCCAACCTTCCAAATCCAGCGTCTCCATTAGACGTTGCAGCACGATAAGGCTTGGACAGACAGCTAGCTCACTGAGTATTTACTCCCGCATCTCAACCAGCATGCTCGCCAGCCTTGAGCGTTACATTGTCTCGTCACGTAATCTTCGAATTTTGAGGCCTGCTAGACACGAGCAACTCCATAATGCCAATTAACCACCAAACACCAGGCTCCCTCCATCTTAACCTAGATACCCTGGAACGCCGAGTCCCCATCCTTCACGCCCTAAAATGCTGCACAAACCCGTGCAAACGATCAATGACCACCGGGAAAATCGCATTCGAACTGTCCTCAATCAACGTGTCAAAATGCCTAATCGCCTCCTCCTCAGTGTACTCCAAATGGAATCTCTCCTTAACCTTTAGCACGACTTTATCCGGCTCAATCTTGATATCAGGGATATTCGCATCAACCATCAAACTAAACAGGTTGAGAATCAAATTCGAGGATTTGCGCAGAGTGGTGTAGGCTGTAAAGCAGTACTGCTTGAACTGGCGGTAGTATTCTGAGGAGGAACCACCCATGCCATCGACCATCTCTTTACAGAGCTTCATGGCGGGTGCGAAGGGCTTGGGGTCGCGGCCGAGGATGAAACCAAAGTCGGCGTGGAAGAAGTGGCCGTCGGGGGCGAGAAGGAGGTTGTCGAGGTGGCGGTCACCGACGCCGAGGAGGTAGGTGATTACGCAGTAGCCAGCGCAAGACTTGATGAAGATGTCGAGAGCTTCTTTGCGGACCCCGAGAGGTGCTGCATCGTCTGGGTTGTTGGACTTCAGGTAGGCGAGGACGGTGTTGCCTCTGAACTTGTTGACGATGCTTTGGAGACTCATGGAAGGGACAAACTGGGCTGCTCCGGCAGTGGCTCCAGTAGCAAGAATTTTGTATGGTGACAGCTTCAGGTCTAGGTTCTCTTTTTGTAGTAGCTGGTCCATGAGAGTGATGATCTGAATAACCAATTGATCCTGTCGGAGATCGTCTCCGGTTTTGAAGATGATTTGGTACTTCTGTTTGGACAGTGTCTTGAATGTTACCATCACTGGGAACAGCGACGACTTGAACACGAGGGTGTTGGCAGGATCGATCCCTGTAATCATTACCGATGGGTCGAGAGGCAACGGTATCGGTGGATCAATCGTAATGATCTCGTTCTTTGGATCTGCCAGGAACACTTTAACCCGCTCGACCTTCTTAGGTATGGCTTCTCGTGATACTTTGATATCCATGGAAATTTTAGACAAGACTGTGACGAGCTCGGCTTGTCGTAGCAAGATTTTGCGAGTCTCTTTCCCACCTGGAAGTTTCACTAGCTCCATCATGAAATCATACTCGACCTTTGCGAAAAGTTTCCGGTATGATGCCGCTTGGTCTTCACTCTTGTCATCGCACTCTACCATCAGATACCAGTGGAAATAGTTTCCAAGTAAGAAGTTGTTGGTTGCGCGAGATATGAGGAACTTTGCAAGCGAGGAATCTGAGGTTGCGTCCGTGTTAGAGTCTGGTGAGATCTTCTCGAACTTTAGGGCTTGCACTAATTGCAGAAGATATAGCAAGAGCTCGTCGTCGTCGGCTTTTCGAAGACGTTCGACAGCATAGGCTCTTACAGCGGGGTTGACGAACGTAGGACCAAGTAGTTCCAGGGCATCGTCAACGTCGACTTCAGTCCACTTAGCTAATATCTGTACAGCTTGCCGCGATTCGCTCTGATCACTCCAGTTGACGGACTTGACGAACTTGGTCATAGCTCGCTTGTCTCGGGTCAAGTGATGCCGGAATTTCCACACGAGATCTTTCTCCTCAGGAGAGAGTATGTGGGTAGGCGAATATGCCATGATGCCGTTAAGCTCATCTCTGACCTTTGCATTCGGCTTCAAATCCCTGTCCAGAACACCAGTGCGATGACTTCTCACAAGACGTCGATGCTTGCTTTCTGCCGGGTTGTCTCTTGCCCCAACTTCAGGATCGAACACACGTACGAGACGACCTCCAAATCCGTGATCGTCGTTGTCTCCTAGTCCGTTAATCCCTGGACCATACTGAACTTCGGGCGGTGGTCTGAGAGAAATAGATTGTGAAGATGACAAATGCTGTAGGGAGGATATAGGAGGCGGTGGGTACTCATGATCGGCAAATACAATCGGAAAGTCGAACCGTGGTAATTCGACATACAAAGTAAATCGTTCATCTTCGATCGATGCTTCGTCCTGGTTTTGCTTTGCCGGCTTCTCTCCCGTTCCGTCCAGCGTCATGACAGTGCTTCGTTCTCGAGAGTGTCGTCTCTGAAGTGCTTTTAGAGACGTACTGGAGGCCCGCAAGCCTTTCTTCTCAACCCCTCGGAATACCAGCTGATCAAGCCATTCAACTCGTGGTATCTCCCCCATTTCATGCTTCTTGAACAGTTTTTCGAGCCGGTCCAACTCCTCACTCTCTTTGTCTGCGGTTTCTGTAGTTTCTTTTCCCTTGGATCCATCCCGGCGAACCTTTGGGAGGCTTGCTGGAGTGGAAGTCGAGTCCAGGCCATCTGCGGCTTTGCGACGATGCACGTAGCATTTCTGCCGGCCCTTCTGAAGTTGATTTTCCTGGTCAAACAAACGAAGGGTAGTCCCACCGAATGGTATTGCGTGTCCCTGTGCTCCCTCTCCTCCAGCGGGCGATAGATCCCAGAGTGTAATAGCAAGCTGCGAGCTTAACGGTAGAGTTGAGTAGTTAATAGGAAGCGTGAGCCACTCGTTCCATCTTTGCATATGTCAGTTTCTGTCTTTACCTTTCCAAAGATGCCCCATAATCTATGCGACTCACTTTCTTTCATTTCGAAAGGGCTTGTAAGCGGTTTGGACAGGCACCGTAAGTGGCTTGGAATCTGCCCACAACTGTACGGTAACATAGAGGTCAGAGTGAGGACTGAGGTTGTCAGCTCTGGGCCTGGAATCTTCTCCATAATCCTCACTTCAGGTTCGAACCAATATGCCTCAACTCTGGCCGTTTGATAAGTGTAGAGAACGGTATTGGAGTTTGTTCCCCTTCAAGGCTGACACTGGAAGCATGTTAGCGCAGGCTACGTAGTTTCGCGGCGGACTTTCATTTTTATATTAACGGGGATCTCAACAGCATCGGAACTTGCAAAGGAAAAAGGATCCATGATCCATCTTCCGCGGTCTTTGTGAAGATTGTGGGAAGTGGGATCGTCGTTCGGATCCTGCATCATCGGTGCACTGGCATATACCTAAGCCCGGCCCTCTCTCTCACGCCAACACTCCGTATGCCAAATCGGACCGGGCCCACAAACGCGAAATCAGCAAATAACGCGAACCACCCCTCTACCCGTTAGCAACTCTAAACAGTCTCTTCACTCCTTATCGACTTCGATACCCGCGACTATTCGTTTTCAGGCGCGTTAATAAGAAGAACACTAAAAATAACACGCACGAATGCGCGCTCCTTAATATAGCCTCATCCTACCTTTGCAGCCGCGTCGATAGTCCCCATATACACTACTGCGCAACGCGATGGCGCGCCCAACCATGACCTCGCAATCTCCTGCGCCATACCGCGATGACCTCTACGGAGTCTCCCCTCCCCCGAAAAACAGAAGAGGTAACCATGGCCCCGAGTCGCCTTCTCCCGTGACCTCCGTATCGTCAGATAAGGAAAATCGCTCTCGACCAGGCGTTGACAAAGGAAAAGGGCGCGCGCCGCTAGGCATGAAGCCACCGTCGAGAGACTCTCCCAGTGATCGCAACAAGAGAAAAAGAGGGCCCCAAGAGCCTCTGGCTGACCGAAGCAACACCAGAAGACGGACAGCCGAGGGCGCTCCTGCCCCAGGTGGCAGCCGCAGGCAAATATCGGCATATGCTGAGGAACATGTTGAGGAGGACGAGGAAGATGATGTGGAAGAGGAGCCCGTGAAGGAAAGAAGCGATAGGAGGAGGCAGACCGTGGAACAAGAGGATGGTGCATCTGAGGACTCCTGCAATTACGATCCCGATCAAGATATCCTGGAACGACGCAAAATTCGCAAGGGCATGAGGGACTTGGATAGGAAGCTTCACGAGAACCGTTCCGAATTTCTTCTTCCGGACTCGACTGGACTTAGGGACACACTTATCGCAGCCAATTCATTGTCTAAACGGGTCAAGCAGACTTCCGATGCTACGATTGACGCCAAACTGCTATCCACAGCCGCAGACTACACTTATAAGAAGACTGTTGCTTTGCTCTCCGGGAACACTGCGCAAGGTATCGATGTCGATGATCTGATATCAAAGATAAAGCAATTCTCGAGACTCGGAGATGATGCAGCAGCAGCACTTAGCAGCACGCAAAGGGCTCGGAGAGATGATGGCGAGGATGATGAGGAAATGTTGAATTGGGCCTACCTGGGACGGAATGCTTGTATCATGCACAACTCTCGTCCGTCCGTACCTGGCTTCTTGCTTGGTCCACTATCAGTAGAAAAACGAGCCAAGCGAGTCGTTGCACGAAGGGCAGTCCTCAAGCATAGCAGTCTTCAAGAGACGCGTCCGGAAGTCCTTCAAGTCTCCGATGTCCAGAAAGACAAGAACCAGAATCTCAGCTCTCTGTGCCGGGAAATCAAGGTAGCGTTACAGCAGCGTTGCGTGAGTAATCAAGAAGCAATAGAGAACCTGCATCATGCAGGTATGTCGGTTGAACAGGAGCAGGAACTATTCGACCGCTTCGACACGGCAGAGAATAGTGGACTGGCTTATTTCAAATTTGTCGTCAATCCCTGGTCCTTTGGTCAAACCGTAGAGAATATGTTCTACGTGAGCTTCTTGATCCGCGATGGAGCAGCTGGAATATCTCTAGATGATAGAGGTCTACCATATCTCGGTAAGTTGCTAAACCTGTTCAAAATCCAAGCCACTAACCGTGATGCAGTCTTCTATGATGATCCGGACCGCGATGCAACAGCGAAAGGCGATCATCCCAAACACCAAGCTGTCATGTCAATGGACATGGCTATGTGGGATGATCTGATTAGAACTTTCGACATTAAAGAGCCTATGATCCGTCACAGAGAGGAAGAGTCGTACACTAATGTTGGCGCCAAGGGGTGGTATGCCTAGACGGCATCAATTTACTTCTTCAAACTTCTTCCATCTATAATCGAACTTTGGCGTTGGGAAAACATAAATATGGCCGCAGCAATGCGATTTAGTTTCTAGGCACGTAAACTCGCATAGGGAAGGCATTTGGCTGCCTGGGGTATATTCTACTTGGTGATGGTGGTGGCGCTTACTTTGGTTATCACTCTACGGCATGCTAGGTGTCCGGCGTTACCATTGCCAGTGGTTCGAGGAAGAGAATACCGCACAATACAATTGCTATCTTGGTGCGGAGATAGATTCCCAGCTGTGCGACTTTCCATGGAGCCAGTCTTGTTCTTGCTTGTTGTACTGGCCAAAGGCGCAAAGCAAATTCATGTAGTGTTGAAGCTGAAAAACTAAGCCCTTAAGAGTATCAGAACTTGATGTCAAAGATCTGCATATTAGGCTTGTTGAAGATCAAAGGGCTGTATAATGGCTTGGAGACTAGAAATCTTCCAGAGCCCCTTTCAGAGCCCCTTGAGTTGCCGTCTTTTAAGCGCAGCCCAGAGAAAATGAAGCCAACTCTTCACAAAGCTTTGATATGAAGGTTTTATGATCAAATTGTGATATGAGTCGTCATTTGCATTTACCTCTATGTACGTAGTGGTAAGTATCTTCGGCGAAACAAAGGACCGACCGATTAGCCTAACGCTAAACTCAACGCCAGTTCAGCCGATCTAAACTCACTCTCCAACAATTTTTAAAGACGCCCGAACCTCATCATCCTCAGAAACATTCATCCACCCCCGTCCCTCGTTCAATTTCGTTGCTGCGGCCATACACCAAGATGTCCCGAATCTTGCGCCCAGCATCTCGACTTGTCTCGTCCACCTCAGCGTCGAGACCAGTAATTGCCCGAAATGCCTTCCAGTCCTTCTCCCGCGTACCGGCGATTGTGTCAAGCAGAGGATATGCGAAGGAGAGCGGTATGAAAGAGATGACTGTCAGAGATGCGCTGAACGAGGCTTTGGCTGAGGAATTGGAATCAAACCCAAAGGTCTTTATCGTCGGCGAGGAGGTCGCTCAGTACAATGGCGCATACAAAGTCACTAAGGGACTACTGGATCGATTTGGAGATAAAAGAGTCATCGACAGTCCCATCACCGAGTCTGGCTTTGCTGGTTTGACTATTGGCGCCGCATTGGCCGGTCTAACACCTGTGGTGAGTTATATATTTCTTCGGAGTGTTTCTCTAGGAGCATGTTCTTAACGAGTGGCTACAGTGCGAATTCATGACCTTCAACTTCGCCATGCAAGCTATTGACCAGATCGTCAACTCCGCCGCGAAAACCCACTACATGTCCGGCGGTATCCAGCCCTGCAACATAACCTTCCGTGGCCCTAACGGTTTCGCTGCTGGTGTCGCTGCGCAACATTCGCAAGACTACTCGGCGTGGTACGGAAGCATACCCGGCCTTAAGGTCGTCTCCCCGTGGAGCGCAGAGGATGCAAAAGGCCTGCTGAAGGCAGCCATCCGCGACCCCAACCCTGTTTGTGTCCTGGAGAACGAGCTGCTGTACGGTCAATCCTTCCAAGTAAGCGAGGCGGTCCAAAAAGACGACTTCGTTATTCCCTTTGGCAAGGCCAAGATCGAGCGCGCCGGCAAGGACCTCACGATCGTCTCCCTCTCCCGCTGCGTCGGTCAGTCCCTCATTGCCGCCGAGAACATCAAGAAGAAGTATGGCGTCGAGTGCGAAGTCATCAACCTTCGCTCTATCAAGCCTCTGGACATCGAGTCCATCGTCAAGTCCGTCAAGAAGACCCACCGCCTGCTCTGCGTCGAGTCCGGGTTCCCCGCCTTCGGCGTCGGTGCCGAAATCCTCGCTCTCACAATGGAATACGCCTTCGACTACCTAGATGCCCCTGCTCAACGTATCACCGGTGCTGAGGTCCCTACGCCGTACGCGCAGAAGTTGGAGGATATGTCGTTCCCTAACGAGCCACTGATCGAGGCCTACATCGCCAAGATGCTGAATCTGTAGATGGTTGACAGGCGGAGTGGGCGTGGAGCTATAGAGGGGGTCTCTATAGACGCGGGAGTGGCTTGTCCGCGGATGGTGAGGGCAATCAAAATGAGAGTGTATTTCTAGGCGGCCTGCATGTCCTATAATCGAAGGATACCTACCTATTGGCAGTTACGAGCACTCTGAATTATATCTGACTTTGAACTTGAAGAATGCGTATATATCCGTATTCCTAACGATTGCATGTTTAGTTCCTTCCACGTTTAGATTTCGAGGAGATGCGAAAGAGCTTCTTTCTGATCGGTGAGGAATCCTCCAAGCGAAAATGCCGCTCTGCTTTCTGCTTTTAGATTTACCAATGAGTTTTCCGCCGCAGGTCTTACTGGGTAGATGTGAGTGTCCGTCAAAAAATGTCAGGTGAAGATCAACATATATCCCATGACCATTTACCGCGATAATTATCAGTGAACTGCTTGCCATGATCTCGTCTAAGACGGTATGTTTTCATACTTCAGGTCTGCCAGCACTGAAGAGAATGGTTTAATGCCTGTGGGGTTCGTTCACTCAGTCGTCAATTTCCTGATGCATCGTGCCTACCTACCTACCTAAAGTAGGGATGTAATGTACTCCTTCGTGACTTCGTCTCCGTATCTCAGTAAGTGACCCAAGCCTAGGTCCGACGCCGCCAGAGAGCCCTCCCGTAGTAAAACAAATTGCCCCCCTCCTGAATCCCCAATGCCAGTGAGATAAGAGAAAAATTCAGACTCCCATGGTGAAGTCGTGCTCGATGCCTGGCGTGACACTTGCCATGAACTATCCCAGTAAGATTAGCATACAGAAGCTGAACTTCGCCAAGGACAGTGAACATACCTTCAAGAATACAACCAGGTACTGATCCACCCGAATAGCAACCTCCTCGTCGGAAGCCTCCACATCATGCTGCAATACCTCCCACTCATCATTCCCGTTCCCACCAGCCTTCGCCCCCTCCAAAACAGCCTTCTTATCCTCGACTCCTAAACTCGTCTTGGTGAAATCATCCACCAGGCCTTCCATACCAGCGTCCTTTGCCCCGGGCAGGATCTTGCCTTGCTTGAGTTTCTCGCGGCGGATCTTGAGGGCGGCGTCGGCGCGGTCAAGGAGCGTCTTCATCACGCTTGCGTGTTTGCAAGGGTGTACGGAGGCCATCTTGATATTGTTACTGAAGTAGGGAAAGTCTTCCAGGGTGACGGTCTTGTCTTTGTAGTCGCCTACGATGTCTTCCATCATGAGCTGGGGTGGGAGGGGTTGAGAATTGGAGAGGTAGCCGGAGAGGTAGAGGCGCGGGGTACGGTAGTAGGGGGTATATGCGATGTAAAGGGTGTATGTTCGTCTCGACCTAGAATCTATAAGTCTACTGGGCATGAATGATATGCAGCAAGTACTTACGATTCCGCACCATCTGCCTTAGGATCGCGAATGATAGCCTCCTCGTCATCTTCCTCGTCCTCCATATCCGGAATCTCATCATCATCGTCTTCCCTCTCTCCCATATTCCCACTATCGTCCACAGTCCTAACATCTCTCGCTCGCGCCTCCTGACTCGCAGCCAGGCCACCGGTCCTCAACCACCCATCCTCATCATCGCCCGGTGAGTGTCCATCCGTGATCCTGAAGTCCTCTCCGTCGCCCACCACCGTCTCGTCATGACCGGCGTCGCCAGCAAAGTTATCGTCGAGTCTGCGGTGGCATGGAACACCGCGAGTGACAAGGAACTGCTTGCCCGCAGGCAGATACGACGCGCGCTTCGAGACCGGCGACGCATCGGCCCAGGACCACGTTGGGAACTTGTAGACTAGGTAGTCGCCTGCGGCAACAAACTCTTCGGGAGTGATTTGGCCATTCTGTCGGAAGGTCGAGGTATGGGAGACGGGTGCCCACTCGCGGACTCGGTCGAGGGTGCTGTGGATGAAGTTCATGTTGATACAGTAGCGGGGTCAAAAGGTTGTCTTTGGTTCTCTTTGGGTTCAGGTTTGAGATCGAGTCTGGTCTGCTATCCCGAGGTCGGGACTAGTGATAATGGTCAGGTATATGGATGGGTTCTAGGAGGTTAAGTACTCGGGAGTTTCTGTGACTCGGTGTCTTAGGGAGGGCTTGAGGGACAAAGGCGCGATTCACTTACTGTACTTACAATACAGCCTTGCCCCACCTAGGTAGCATCGATGCCTCCGAGGCGGCGCAGCTACCCGCCACGTGATCAAGTCGCCTGAACGAGTCACAAAGTAATTGTTGTTCAGTCACAGGCACTCAGATGTGGTCGTACAGCAGTGCAACCTCGCTACCATTCCTGTTTCAGAAGCAGTTTGCCATATTATCTGATCATGAAATTCAACAAAGTTGGAAGCGAAGGGGAAGCGAAGGGGAAGCGAGAAGCTCAACGAGCCCCGACTTCATCGCTCTTCTCGAAGGCTTGGACGTCTTCGGCCAGACACTACTCCCCGCTCAGAAGCAACGTTCGCTGCTTCATCCAACGGCGTTCCGGCCCCGATTCACTTGCCACGGACGCCACCCCCTCTTCCTCGCTTAAGACTACGGACCAAAATGCCTGAACAACAACAGCACCTGTGTACCAAGTCGTCCAGCTTTTCGTCAACCCGGCTCAGTTAGATGGTAACTTGACTCTGTCTACTATCGCAATGGCTGGTTTGTGTGCTGCGGAAGTAGCGTCGTCTGTGTGTCCTGGCCATGCGGCTTTTGAGGTTGTTGAGGGGCAATTGACTGTTTCCATTGCTACTTATACCTTGTGCTTGTTGCGCAGGGAGACATTTGGTTTACTCCTGGAGACACGACGTACAGGTACGACAGCCAGGTGGCATATACTGTTCTTACAGATTAGCCAGAGAGCTTTGGCCCTGGATACGGTCCTGATTCTGGGTGGAAAGAGCTGGGACAGTCCTGTCTAGCCTATTAACTAACCCGCTGGAGCATATCTGCTGCGTGGTCAAATGGTTTTCCTGCATCTGGCCTAGCAGAGGGGTGTTCCGTACCCTTCGTGTACATACTTTTCTCTACTTTGTCCAAAGACAAAATATCGAGGAGATGTCGAGAAAGAACCAAATATGTTTCCACTCTGCACTGGAAACACCCATTCCAAAAGAACCGAGTACCTTTACCGTCCCCTCTAAAAATCCTGAATACCCGTCTCCCCGTCCCCTTCCACCTCCCCCGGACTCTCCCCCTCAAACCACTCCTCCTCCCTCTCCCTCATCTCGACCTCATCCTCTTCACCCACCGCTCCGTCCACAACCCCATACTCAAACTCTCCATCCTCGCCCTTCAAAAATCTCACCGTCATCCCAAACACCCACCTCTGCCACCCCTCCTGCCTTGTTTTTGGCACCTCGTCCTCTTCCTCCGGCAATACTTGCCCATCCTTACCCCTCTGATAAGACACAAACGGGACAAAATTCTGCTCCGAAGCGGACTTGGGGAGCATCGACGGAGCAGAAGAGGGGGAAGGGGGGTGCAAGGCGAGGATCTTAGCTTCGGTGCGGTAGAGATCTGCTTCCAGGACGCCGGAGTAGCCTTTGGCTTTGCCGTCTGCTTCGCGCTCCGAGGCGGTTTGGAAGCGACGGATGCAGCGGTCGTAGAGTAATGGATCTATTCGTTCTCGTTACTTTTAAAATTTAACAACTATTGGGATTTGGGAGATGGGAGAGAATGCGGGAGAGACAGTGGTGATATGGCGTGACGTGATTTGATGTGATTTGATGTACCGGCTAGTTCTAGGTCTGGAGATGTGAAATAGGAAGGGTGGCGATCGAGGTAGAGTTTCCGCCGATTTTTGATGCGGATCTTCTGGAGGCTTTCTGCTGATCGGGATCGTGGTCGCGGAATATATCCATGTGAGATTTGAGTTGAGAGGGTGGGTTGATGAGTTGCTGGTCCTGGAGACGGGGAGTCTGGCATTGTGGGTGTTGATGTTGAGGCTGCTCGGGGGGGCGATGGAGGGGTTGAGCCTTGCGGGACCAATCCGCATGGACGTCTTCAGATAAGATCTTGAATACGAGGTATTTGTTTCGGCTGTGGCACTTTGGAAGCCCGTTGCGAGAATATGGCTAGTTGTTGATGCAGAGGATGTGGGTACCCACCACTACTGTACAAGTGTTTCGTCGAGGCGGCAAGCGAGCCTTCAATCCCTCCGAGTCAGGTGAAGCTTTTAATGTCAAAAATCCTACCTACATACTACGTAGATAACGAGATAACGCCTCCCCACGCCTTCTTGAAGATCTGAGCATTAGCTTTTGGGCCAAAAAGAATAAATAAGGCCTTCGTAATAGTTCAGAAGGCTATATCATCGATTCTCGACTTCAAGCTCGGCAAAACGAACATCGTAATTTTTACGAAGTATATTATTGTGCGGAACAGCCATGGTCTAAGGCATGCCTCAAGATCCGCCCAAGCTGGTTGGGTGGAGCAGCTACTACTATCTATGAGGCCTTATTACTCTCCCCCTGATTAGTAGTACATGTCGAAAGTATAATTTCGCAAGGGATCTATCTTGCCACGGCTAAAACGGGAT